ATTATTTATGATGTTTCCGGCTAATTGCCATTTTTAGTTTTTTACTAAAAGGAAATATTTTTCCTTGGCTTTGTCCTTTTCAGTAACTTCATATATTTCGATGATATATCAGCAACTTCATATATTCTGATGATATATGCTCAGTTTAGAGATACCTACTGGTAGATTTCTTCTCCCTCAATATATCAATGATTGTAATAATACTGATCACTTAACTGGAAGAAGTTTCTTTAATGATAAATTTTTATGATTAGATTTCTATTTATTTTCACCTTTTTCTCATTAGCCTTTAGAGTGCTTTCCTTTTTTTCCTTCTTTGAATTACTTGGGTTTGTTAGTTTCTATTATTTTCCGTACTTTTTTTATATATTCAACTTGTTATTAATATTTATAATGAATCCAAAATTAGCTATTATTTTTTATCTGTCAACCAACTGACTTGTTTGACTGTTCAAATAACATTTGTTTCTCTGGCATAACCTTAGATGATGCTTCTCTATTATGCAGCAACATACTGTGATTCCAAAGTTATTGCAAAAAATTTGGATATGAGATTGGCCTATGTTAATCTAAAGAATGACAGAGGCTATACTCCTCTTCATATTTCTGCTATGCGTCGAGAACCAGCGGTCATTGTGTCCCTTCTAACCAAGGGCGCTTCTGCTTCTGAAACAACTGGAGATGGCCAGTGTGCTGTTCGTATATGTAGAAGATTGATACCGACAAAAGATTATCATGCAAAAATAGAACAGGGTCAGGAGTCAAATAAAGACAGATTTTGCATTAACATTTTGGAGAGGGAGATTAGAAGGAATCCCTTGGCTTGGTATTAGATGTCTGTTTTGGTTCATCTAATTCTATTAGTTTACCTTATATAAAATTAGCCTCTATGTTTCTTCTTGAATAGGAGAATCTGATGTTCTTATGTACGAATGATGAAATAGTTTAATTAACTTTCTAACTTATTTTGTTCATGTTTTAATATTTGGGTCTGCAAAATCAGTGTTTTATCATTTTGATTCCTTCAGAAACAATAGCAAGAATAAT